GTCTATTAATGGTGTGATTCATGAAGAAGGAATCACGTTTTCATGATCGGCCCCTCATCTTTCTGCGTGTCTCCGCCAGGCGGGTCAGTAGTGAGGGTCAGCTGCACAACCTAACCTTTGGAGAAGGCAGGAAATGGTGTTTTTCACCCATGTTAACGGCATAAACTTGTGTTCACCTGTGCAGGAGGAGAACTTTTCATGCAGCTGGAGAGAGAGGGCATCTTCATGGAGGACACAGCCTGGTGAGCGTTGTTCAGTGTCATCTGTTATGAAATCACTGTGGTCTGTGATCATTTTTTAAGTCAGTGCACATGATATATGAAACTTCAGGGAACTATAACGATAGTACTCACACTTCCTGATTTCTTACCAGACAAAGCTCTCCGGTAATATGAACCTAACAATGGTTTAAACTGACGACAAACATATGGTGTATTAATACTGTATGCATGTCTGTATCAAACTGGTAGATCCTTATTCATAAACAGTTTCTCTGCATGATGTTGATTGTATTTAATGACATTTTGTCTTTGTTTTGTTTTTTTATCTGTAGTTTCTACCTGGCAGAGATCTCCATGGCTCTGGGCCACCTGCACCAGAAGGGTATCATCTACAGAGACCTAAAGCCTGAGAACATCATGCTCAACAGCCAAGGTGTAACCTTAAAACATAACCATCCATATGCACAAATATCACTCGGGTCACATAAATATCAGTAAATAAAGACCTTTTTGTGATTTAATGCAGATATTATCTTATATCTGCTATAAAGAGGTGTGAGGATTGTAAATAATCTGAATATCTGTTTTCCTTTCAGGGCATGTAAAGTTGACAGACTTTGGGCTGTGTAAAGAGTCAATTCACGACGGCACGGTTACCCACACTTTCTGTGGTACCATCGAATACATGTAAGTCATGCTCTGTCATTGCCCTTCATGCTTACTGTTGACTCATTAGTGAGAATTGTGTGCTGATGCTGTTGCAGGGCCCCGGAGATCTTGATGAGAAGCGGACACAACAGAGCAGTGGACTGGTGGAGTCTGGGCGCTCTGATGTACGACATGCTCACAGGAGCGGTCAGTTAAAAATTTACAACATAAAAAAGCTTTCTACTTCACTCTTATTAATGCGCCGTTATAAAATATGAATCATAATTCGAAACGTTTGAGTAACCCCTTCCTCCCTTTTCCCGCCGTAGCCACCGTTCACTGGTGAAAACCGAAAAAAGACCATTGACAAGATCCTGAAGTGTAAACTCAGCCTGCCGCCCTACCTCACACAAGAAGCTAGAGATCTCCTAAAACGGGTACTTCATGTTTGTTTAAAGCATATACCACTCATGTTTATCCAAAATAAGCGTGTGGTTGTTGTGTAAGTAGTTCTGACATTTGACTGCTGGTTGTACAGTTGCTGAAGAGAAACGCCTCGTCACGGCTGGGAGCGGGAGCGGGAGATGCCACAGAGGTGCAGGTAAGAAAGCCATACGACACTCCAAGTCTGCTTCTGAGCACTGAGGAGCAATATACTGCTTTTATATGATATACAAAGGTTACAGGTGTATCTTATGTAGATTGTTTCTTTAAAAAATGCATTGCCATACGTAGTTATAGAGACTGTAACTGGGTTGTAGAGTCACAAACCCTCTCGATACTCTAACATTGTCATATATTGGACAGAAGCTGTGGCTGCATGAATGACGACTTGTTAACAATTTTCCGAGACTGAAAAGCTATGTTTTATTGGCCCTCTGTTCATACAGTAGCACTCTGTTTGCATTTGATATCCCAAAGGCTCATCCCTTTTTTCGACACATCAACTGGGAGGATTTGCTTGCTCGGAAAGTGGAGCCTCCCTTCAAACCTTTCTTGGTGAGTATCCGAGGAGCAGGCCGCGAGGTAGTCTGAACTAGATACTATATAAATTTGAGAATGTTGAATGTTGAAATTAGATACTCAATTCACAAATAATGCTGCCCGAGTAGTAGTAGTTCTGGTTTGCCCTGCCTGGATTAAACCAACTGAATACGTTTGAGTAACAGAAGCCAGGTCTTCTCTTGTTTCAGACCTACGTGTTGTTAGTTGACACATCTACTCACGTTGCCTCACCTTTTCACCTGCGTTTGTCTCCTCCGTCTTTGCAGCAATCAGCTGAAGACGTGAGTCAGTTTGACTCGAAGTTCACCAGTCAGACACCAGTCGACAGCCCGGATGACTCAACCCTCAGCGAGAGTGCCAACCAAGCCTTCCTGGTAACTTCTTGGATCTTTTGTTTGTTTTGTGACATTTGACAACTCACAAAAGAAAAAGTTAATCTTTTCACAAACACAGTGAGAAACCTTTTGTTTCAAATGACTGATTACTGTTGCATTTCTTATTATTATTCTCTGCTGTTCAGTATGGAAAACTCTTTGGTAACAATTAGGTTTACTTCCCTTCTCAGTTATTTTAAGTTCCCCTTTCACACATAGTTTAGATACAATAATGTGGAGCTGATGTGTTTTTTTTCCATCAACCCTCAAAATCTATGAGTATCCAAATTTTGTTCATTTCTAAGTTCATTTCTCATTTTGCTGCTGGACACAAGATCTCTCCTACTTCACTGTAAATTACATTCTCAGTGTTTGTGCACTAGCGGCTTCAGGTTTCTGTCTGCTTCACACTTGTATAAGTTGCCTTTAAAATCGGATTTTCAGTGAGCACAGAGAAACTTTCCACTTTCAGCAGATTAATGTGAAAACCTCCTTCTAGTGCACATATATCATTCTGCACAGCGAAGCTCAAACAGAAAAAAGCATGTTAAAAAAATACACCACAGGTTTGCACAATAAACATGTCATTTGTTAGAGGCTTGTAGTTAATCAGCATTTAGCCTAAAACAGTTAATAGCTTATACACCAGTATCAGTTTGTATTGTCTTATATTCCATTTCTAAGATAATTCTGGTGTAATAATCACAAGCATCAAAGAGCAGCATAAATAATGTGGAGCTCCCTGGCCAGTGAGATGTGGATCCTCACTGCTGTTTCCAATCCATTTCTTCCTCGCGCTCACTCTGCCCACATCTGACCGCACTTCTCTTTGTCCTCGCAGGGTTTCACATACGTCGCTCCGTCAGTCCTGGAAAACATCAAAGAAAGGTTCTCATTTGAGCCAAAAATCCGCTCACCTCGTCGGATCGTGGACAGCCCAAGAACTCCTCTCAGGTATGTCACCTGCAGCCGAGACAAACACGGTGAATTACGTACTAGTTGACATCGGACCCACAGTGGGTCTTTGTTTAATTCCTGATATTCCTAGCCTCACTCTGTTGATCTAAATTTTTGTTTTAGATTGTTGATACAATTCCTTCTCAATTCAAATATAGCTTTTCACTCCATCTGAAGCGAAACACACAGCCCACAGCGTATTAATTAGAATTATTTAGAGACTAAAGCCACATTTGATTACACTTACACTTGCCTTCATCTGCATGTTTGTCATTGTTACTAATACCTCCTCTCTTCCTGTCCTCAGCCCAGTCAAGTTCTCAGGGGGCGAGTGCTGGGCCCGGAGCCCCCTCCTCCACAGCGGAGGACCGAGCGTCCTCCAGTCACCTCAGGACCAGGCCATGGAGCTGTCCACCCCAGAGCAGATGGACGTCACGACGAGCTCTGAGGCCTCGGCGCCTCTTCCCATCCGTCAGCCCTCCGGCAACCTGGCTCAGATGAAGCACCAAGCCTATCCCGTTGTGGCCAAACGGCCCGAGCATCTACGTATGAACCTATGACCCACTGCACCTCATTAGGAGAGTTTATTTCTTGACTTTTTTTTTTTTTTTGTTATTTTTTAAGAAACAAAGCAAAAAGATATGGATGCTAGAGACAAAATCCAAAATTGCACATCCACACACTACATAGACTGTCACAACCTGGAGTTTGTGCGTGGGTCTGGGACTCCAGCGCGCTGCAGTTTAAGTGCTATTGACGACATCACCGTCTCACCACTTCTCCTTATCCGACACCTCAGGTCTCATGACCTTTGTCTTCTGACCCTCCCTTTCTGAACTGGACTAGTAGGACTGGAAATGTTTTGAGGAGCTACAGCCTTTGTGCAACCTGCAAATCAAAGGCGATGTATCACACAGTATGCAAGCGATTTACTCTAAAATGCAGTGAGTCTACAGTACGTCTCAGATGACGTCCAAAGTGCTTTGTGCTATTTGAATGAATGCCAGTGAGGAAATTGCTTCCATTGGGAGATTTTGACAGTTCATAGACGAAAATGCTCCCTGATTTGGGATGAATTGGGTTTATTATTGAAAAAGATCAAAGAAATGATTGTTGCGAGCAGCGGACAAGCAGTGGTTCTGGTATTGATGAATATAGCTTTATGTCTTACGATGTTTTACAAAATGGATGCATTAACTGTGCTATACATCAATAATGAATCAGAGAGGCTAAATTAAACAAGAAAAAAAAAAAACATGTTGACTTTTTACATTCTTTTGGCATTGGTGTTGTGGATGACTTGTTTGATGTGGGAACCATACTTCAATTATCCGCTCTTCAGGTGTACTACACTATAGGATGTATCACTGAAGCATCACCAGACATGATTCAGCTTGATCACCGTCACCACCCAAAACCATCTAACTGATCTCGGTGCTGCTTTGTGTGACCCGCCCTGCCTCTGGCCTCCCAAGAGACTGAGGGCCTCAGCGGGGGGCAGGAAGTCAGACGCCATCTGATGCCTGGGAATTCATATTAGACTGTGGCACCAGTTGATCTGGTCACTGTCTGCAGTTGTGAGGTTTAATGCTAAAAAAAACAAAACTTGGGGCTACATCTAAAGCCTCTTGCATCAGCGTTCACTTGTTTAGGAGGGACATTTTAGAAATCCTGAAAAGCAAGGAAAATTATAATAAAATGTAAAAAAACACAGAATGCGTTGTGTCTTTTGTTTTATGCCGATGATTGTCTATACTCAACATTTCAGGTAGAATCACAGGAGACCTCACAAGTGTGCATTGCATATTTTTTTAATTACATATAAGATTTGTTTCAAATCTCAACAACATTGCATTGTATGAATGTCAAAGTTCATCATCAGAACATTATAGAGTACTGCTGCTAGCATATTTAAATGTCTCACTATAGTGTCACCCTGTCATGTCCTTTTCCTTTAAATGATGTTGTAAATAAAGGTTGTGCAAAGTTAAAAAAGAATCAGTGATTTTCATTTAATGTTTTCAATTAAAGGGTAACATTAACAACTTTTTGTATTTCTGTAATTCACCACCACCTAAAAGCCAGTTTAGCAGAATAAAGTAACTCCATAAAGCATAACATATGGGTAAAGCATATGTCGCTGAAATGAACACGGTCTATATAATAAGTCAAAGAAAATCAAACCAACAAACGTAGTGCCCTGTTGATGGCAAAAAGGCTCTCAGGATTAAGTGTTATATTACAAAGACTGGCAGAAATGAACATCAGGTGGTATGAAGTTGATAAGTTTAGGAGGCTGCTCACAGTGTGGGAGGAATTCTGTGTATTTCAGAGTAATCTGTGGCAAAAAAAAGAAAAAAGCTTGTGGTTCACAAAGTAGAAAAGAATGCAAAATGAGTTAAAAAACGAGTCTTATCCTCACATGAACCCTGATTGTGTGCTTCACCAAATACATTTGACAGAGCAGTTGGCTCAATGCTGGCTTTAGAGAAAAATACTGTAACATTCAGTTCTATGTACAATATGCAAAACAGAAATGGGGCAATTGTCTGTTAAGTTCCTCATCGAGGCTGCTGGTCTGGGATCTGAATTGTTTTTGGGATGAGAAATGAACTGTATGTTTCCACTTGACGTCCCACTGCCAAGGGATCCCTGATCTACTCAGCTTGTCTATAATAAACGGATGCATTGACAGTATACAGTCTATTGCCCTTTCACATAATAACAATGCATCTATACAACTGGAAAAAGCTCTGATATACAAGGGCCTGCGTGTGTGTGTGTGTATGCAACTTAAAGATACCTCAGCAAAAATCATCTACCAACTGGACCAATTGATAACCAAGATGTTGCAACAGTTAAAAGCTGCACACTGTCCAATATTGTTAATAAAGATTTGAATTGGTCCGGTGATGGGTAAAACTAAAGATTTAAGGAAAGTTTAGAAAGCAAAACAAAATATTGCTCCAACAAAAAAAAAAAACATTTAATATTTTAGGCATTTCAGTTCATTTAATGATTGATGATATTGGTTATGTATTATGCATAAATCAATGTGAAAATTATTCATGAGGAATGTGCACTTGGAGTATATAAAAAAACAGTAATAATGAATATGGTCAAGTTTTGTGTCTACCAAACTACAGTATATTACTGAAAACAGTATTACACAATCAGTCTTTATCAATTTAACAGTTTATCTTCAAATGACTGCAATGCTCCCTGCCTTGATTATTTAACTACAGCTAAAACAACGGTTGCTTTGACCTACAGACTAAAAAAAAAAGTACAAGTAACAAGGCACAAATACTTCAGAGAAACATAATATAATTAAATAATCATAAAAAAAAGATTTCAGCAATGAAAGATATTCTTCAAACTGGGTTTAACTCACCTGGATTAACAGATTGGTTGAATGTGCGAGACAAGAAGGAAATCATAGCCACACAAGTGCACACAGTTTGGAGCAGTGCATTTGTATGTTCGACTGTCTTTTCCCTTAAGTATCCTTTTAATATACATTAAATGGTGACTGGACAGGAAGGTAAGTCAGAATCTGAAGTGCTGAGTTTACTAAAGCTTAAATTCCAAAGAGGTTATTTGGGGCAAAAAGGAAACAACTGCACAGATCAGCTTCACTTGCATTTCACACATTGGTAAAACTCAACCATCTGAATATTCAAGCAGGTTAAAAACAAACCCAGAAAGTTTCTTGAACACGTTCTTTGACTGTCTTCTGGTTTGGTTTGGCTGTTTGGAGCAGCAGAATATGGTTTCAGAACAAAACAAAACAAAACAAGGTCTGAGCGGTTGCTTCAGTTTTCAGGGCACTGTTACAGTTAGCACGACTAACGATCCAGAGATCAGATGTGTGTACTTCGAGGTGACAGAGGTGGGAAAGTGTGAGAGAGTATTTTCTGAGCGTAGCAGCTGGAACTGGACCAGAGGGACGAAACCAGACAGATGAGAGTGGAGTTACAATATGTCCACCATTCAGTCGTTGTTGTATGCAGAGTTGGAGGGGGGGGGAAAAAAAGAGTCTGTAGTATTGATATCATCACTAATTAGCTCTGCACCTCCATGCAGCAGGGCTCTGTTCCTGCAGCCGCCTCATCTTCTTCCCTAACCACACCCACCACGCGAAACCAATCACAACGCACACCACTGACTCCACGTAATAGCCGTCCAGTGTTGTCACACAAGCGCCGCCCTCCTTAACGCACAGCTGGAGATGGGAACGAAAGAAGAACTGTCAATTTATCCGGTCAAGATAATTACATTCACCACTTTGCATATTTCCCCTCACTATTCACTCACCCCTGCCTCGTCTGGAGAGCCGCAGCTCTGACCGACAGCCCCCTGACACTCCTTAGAGGTCAGTGGATCCACCATCCACAGAGCCACAGTGGAGGGCCAGTTTCCACCAAGGTTGGTGACCGTGTTCAGCAGAGTCATGTAGGTCCCGCCGATGAGGGGGTCGCTCACTTTGGCATGGAAGGCCATGCAGGCCACGTACATGCTGTACAACGCCACCTGGGGGAGAAACATGGGGAACACTTGTTGAAGCTGATCAATTCCCAGCCATTTATATCCATTTTGATTTTTTAATTGATGTTCCTGAAATAAAACGTCATCAACTATTCCTAAGCCAAAGAACTACATCTCTGTAAAATGGGTTTCATATCTTATTGAAAGACAGATTAACAGAGATAGAAATTTAACCTCCTTCACTCAGATATGCCCCAAAAACATTATTTTCTTCTGTTGCACAGTGACATCTGGAGGAAGAATTAAGAAATTAGACATGGGTGATATGAGGAAAACCTATGTTAACACTTGTTGGCCCTTATGTACCTGTAAATTATACTCATTATGCCCATTTATAGATTACATGGATCATTTGCTTTTTTACTGAGGCTGTGCTTCGAGCTGAATGCTAACATCAACATGCCAACATAAGTATCTCTGTGTCCATATAGATTGCACTTTAACCTGGAACACCCATGATGGCGGTAGATGACAAGTTAAGGGATCCCCAAAGTGATCACAGTTTATCCTGAGGGCAACGTGAATACCTGTACAAACCATCTTATTGTTTTTGAGATATTTCCCTAAAAAACATACGGTGACGCTAGAAGAAAAGTCATGAATGTCAAATGTTGTGCCAATCCGTCTGGAAGTTGTTCAGATATTTCACAGGATAAGGGAAAAGTGAAAACCTGCTGTTGGTGCTATAGGAAATGGGGCAATCAATCTAATTTTATCAAAGTGACCGAATGACCAATACACCAACAGACTTTGCCATCCCTAGATGCTGTTAGCATGGATAAAACTGACAAATTGAGAACATATTGCATGTTGTTCTCAATTTTGGCCATTTTGGCTCATTTAAGCCACTTTCCATTACCTA